GCCCCTACCAACACTGTCACCAGAATCCAGTGCCACCCTGTCCCCAGCACCCTGCCACCCACCATAGCACCCAGCACTACCCTGTCCCCGGACCTAGCTCCCTGCCACCCAGCACCACCCTGTCCCTGGACCCAGCACCCTGCCAACTGTGCCAGCATCCTTGGGACCGCATTAGTGAGGCTTGGGGTTTTTGGTATTCTTTTTTTCATCTCACTTGTGTGGCCCCAACTGACTTTTCTGTGGGTCAGTGACCCCTGACTCAAAACAGGTTCCCTGCCCCTCTCATATATAAAGACAATGTTGAAACCATTTGAGTTTGACATATTTTATTTAAAAATGAAGCCTGGCCAATATACCCCCAATTAGGGCCAAATCTCTATCTCACTGCAGCATCATAACACTCCTGCACCACCTGACCCCAAATCTGAGTCTATCATACACTGGAACCCCCTGTCCTGAGCCTCTTACATCCCCAGACTCCTGCATCCCCACATCCTCAGCCTTCTGCCACAACAGTCCTGCACCATCCACACATGGTAAATGTGTGTCCTGAGCCCATCATACTCCCAGCCTCCCTGCCCCTGAGCCCCTCATGCACCCCAGCCCAAACTCCTGCACCCTCACAGCCACAAGCCTGTGGCTTGCTCTCAGCACCCAAACCCTCCACCTGACCTCAACACTCTCCAGCCTGCAACCCCGTCCCCGAGCCAGCATCCCCTTCTCCTGCACCCAAATTCCCTCCCACAGCTTGCACTTCTCACCATTTCCCACACCCAAATCCCTCGTTCCCACCCCAGAGCCTGCACCTCCGGCTCAGCCCAGTGAGAGAGTATAATGGCTGGGGATAGCAGGTGAGGAGAGGAGGGGAACAGAGAGGATGGGGCCCCAAAGGGGTGTGGTCTTGGTGAAGGATTGTGATTTTAATGTATTGGTGGGGTCCTTTTTGTTGTTGTTTTGTTTTTGTTTTTTGCTCAACAAACCTAGGCATAGGGGCACCAGTTTAATAATCTCACGTAGGGCACCATAAATCCTAAGGACGGCCCTGTCCACAGCCATCGGAAATTGCTGAGATTACTATGAACAGAGAGAGCTATTTGCAATGGAAGTTGTCAGGAGTCAGAGTCTACATGAATGTGTTGCAGAAACTCTGGTTCTACTACCTGAGAGTGTGTCATCTGCCTCAGTGGGTGTGGCCAAGTTTCCCCTAGTCCCATAAAGTTTGTTTCCAGCCACCAGTCCTGTTTCTCAGTGTTCTGGGCTGTTATTTACCTCTAATTTACCCGTAAATATGTTCTAAGAGCCCAGCAAGCAGCAGAAGTATTGGTAATGCTTTTAGACAATATTGACTTCCTATGGTTCAGCAAACTCCCTAATTTGACACCGGTCAGTCCCAAGGATTCCAGACTAGAGAAATTCAACCCGTAGAACTATCTTGAGATTACCTTCAGCTGGTTTGCTCCAGATAGCAACTTTTCACTGCAAGTTGCTTTTCATGGGCTCCTTTGTGGTATATCTTGGCCAGTTTTGCAGTTATGCTTGCTCAACTTGCAGTTTCTCAATTAACACTCTGCTAGCTGCTGAAAGGTCCCATTTAAAGTTTATATAATTTATACAAAGTCTCCCCATATTCTTTGATGCTCCTTGTATTAGAGGATTATAGAATGTAATGTCACTTCAAGAACTGTTCTCCAGCAGCTGTGTACATTTTCCATTCAGCAATGGTAGGACCTGTGTGTATATGACTGAGCTGAGTTGGTGCATTATTAATCATACTTACATTTCTGATTATTCCACTGTGTGATCATGTGTCCTTCGAGTGCACTGTTTCTGTATGTGGTATGCACATCCCGTCCCTTGGAGGAGGATAATCAGAGGTGTGGACATTGCCCCTTCAGCAATCTCCCTTAGTCCCTGAAAACAAACCCTCGCTCTAGGGTAGTGCAGCCCAATGGCTAAAGTAATAGGGTAGCCCTTCATTCAGGGAGGTACGGCCTGACAGCCAGGGTCCATAAGGGGTAGTCCTTGGTTCAGAGCAAACTCAGTCTAGTGACCACAGTCAATATGGGGTAGCCCTTTAGCTCAGGGCTGTACGGCCCAGCAGCCAGAGTCTATAAATTGAGGGTTGGGGCCAGTCACCCTGGTAGGGGGACTCGAGCCCACCCTACTCCACTGTGTCCTGACCCAGGGCCCTGTGAGCAGTAGAGCGGTCTGCCACTCTCTTGGGGGGGAATCTGGCCAAAATATGCCGAGTTTATCTGGGTGGGAGAGAGCGCTCCTGCACCGTCCCTGGGTCACTTCCTACTGGTGCTGGTGGGATGGTATCCCATGTAGTGGCTGGGTCTTCTGGTTCCGCATCTGCTGCCTCTCCCTGGAGTTGCCCTGGGCTGTGTGGCAGTAGTCTCCTGGGTCTCTGGCTTCTACTGTTTGGGTCACTGGCTGGTGAAGCCCTGGAATGCCGGTTGAAGGTTCTTCTCCTTCAGTGGCCAGCCCAGAGTGAGCTGCTCTGCTGACTTTTATGCTGCCCCAGCCTTTGGAACATGCCTAGTCTGGGTGAGGGGTGGGACTTCCTCCGCTCACAAGGTTTTAACCCTACCTGCATCGGTGGGGGTCATGTATCCCCTGTCGCACTGTATCAAATGCAAGATGCCTTTTTCACGCCTAGTTTTCTGGTTTGCTTTAGGCATGGTGTGTTTTAGACTTTCCATGGCTGTTTAGTGGGAATGTGTCTGCGCGGGGCAGGGAGACCACAGTTGCAGCAAGAGCCCCTGCTGATCAGTGATTTCAGGTATTTGTACTTGATATTTGATGGGGCTTTCTTATCTGCTCTAAGTTCTTGGCCTATAAGCTGAGAGGGACAATCCTGCTTTCCCTGGCCAGTTTTTGGTTCTGGCTCATTTATTTGAGAGCAGTGAAGTCCTTGTGATAGAATCACTCATCAACCTTGCCAGCGTCATTATTGCTGATAATTAACTTGGAGCCAGAGAAACCATTGGATCCTGTTTGTTCTGGACCTGATCCAACAGCTGGACTACTGCTGAGAGGGCCAGCAGAATCTTCTGCAAACACACAGAGACCAAAATTAGAAGCAAAGGCAGGGATGCCTGTACAATGTGGGCTGGGCTCTGATTTCTGGGTTGGGGATGGAGTGCTGGATGCCTATCCAACTGGATTGGATTCTAACAGTGGGTCCAGAACAGGGTAATGTACCAGCTGTGTCCATGTATGATGCTGTTTCACTTATGCTGGCAGTGCAGGAGGAAGAAAAGGCCAAATTTCCAGCATTGTGGGGTTGCTGAGTGGCCGTGGGTCAGCAGTTCACACCGGCCTGTATTCTTAGGGTGCCCAGATGGGCTGTATGCTATAAGGAAGCCCCAGTGCCTCAGTCATCTCAACAGCAGTGGGTGCATGGCTGAGCGGTGTTGGCAGGGTTCAGCACAGTCTTAAAGAGTTTATGTGAACAGATTGTTCCAGGGCAGCTCAGACTCGGTCAGCAGAGCACTTGGCAACAAGGTGTTGCCTTACAATGGAGAAGCAGCTACTGAGGAAAGCCCAGCAGCTTCTACCTCCACAAGGGCTGTCCCACCCCTAAGAGGAGGGTTAACAGGCCTATCACCTGCTCTGTGACACCAGCCACCAGTCACAAGCCACCAGCAGGACCAACTCAACCATGGTCTGGTGCAGAGCCAGGATACTCTTCCGTGAGATACTGGAAGTGGGAGGAGATGGGCCCAGGTGAATCTGCAGAAAGGAGCTCACTTTGATTTAATGGTGCTCAGTGTCCACCTCAAAGGAAATAAGGTGGGAGAGCATGAGGTAGGGGAAAGTGACTGGACACAATCATGGGAATGGGAATGGGGGAGATGACTGGACCCAGGATCGGGGCAGGGGAATAATGATTGGATCCAGACTGGGAGATGGGGTGGAGAGGGAAGGCGACTGGAGATGGGATTAGGTGGGGGTGAAGTAACTTGAGTGTGAGGGGGCAAGATGACAATGAGGGATGGAGCACGGGATAGGGGGAAGGTAGCTGGAGATGGGATGTGGGTGTGGGGCAGGTGAGACTGGAATGTGGGGAAGGTGACAGGAGCCAGAATGGAGCTGGGAAGAGGTGAGGTGGCTGGAGCTGGGTTGGGGCTGAGGGTGAGGGAGGGGTGAAAGTGGCTGGAGCCAGCCTGGGGCTGAGGTAAAGGGTAATGCAACTGGAAGCAGGATCTCCATAAATAATTTCACTCTTTGGAAAAGGCTGCATGTGGAAGGGGGGTTGAGACCCCAGTCTGTACAGTGAGCTCAAGCCAGGGGAACTAGAATGTTTGTATTGCCCATCTATGTGTGTAGTGTTACATTAACACACACTTATATGTAATTTCTGGTGCAGGGGCAGATGACGATTTTGCGGGGCCCAGGGCAGCACAATTTTGCCGGGCCCCCCCTTTGACACGGCGCATGTGCGGTGGCGCCATGGCGCATGCACGGGGCTTCTTGAAGCACGGGGCCCAGGGCGGCCGCCCCTCTTGCCCTGCCCTATATCTGCCCCTGTTCTGGTGGGCAGAACATGTTTGAAGGTGCTCCCTTGGCTTGCTGCTGCCCATGCATTTTGTTGTAATCCACATTCGGTTAATGTGGCTTTGCAGTAATAGTCTCCTTTGTAGGCTCTAGATCAGTGTTTCTTGAGGCAGTTGGCAGTGTTTCCGCGGAGAACAGAATTCAAAATGGCCACCCTTAAAGGGGCAGGCAACCTTTTTTTTCCTCAATAACGTCTCCCCCGACCAAAATCTTTGGTGTTCCTCATAAAAAAAATGTATTATTTGGTGTTCCTCGATCTTAACACGTTTAAGAAACACTGCTCTAGATCTTGTCATGGCCTCTCCATGGGCAGACTAGTCAGACACCCCATGCTGCAGCAGAAAGAAGGAACGGTGCTGACTGTCCCATCCACTGCAATAGTTGTGGCTGTTACACCGAGTGTTTGGCAGGTTCTTAATGTCCTCTTTTTTTTCCAGTCACAGGTACCAAACCAAGGACATGCTGTCCTAGGAAATCCCTGCTCATCTTGGGGTTCCTCTTTGCTTCAGCGGCAATTGCATTAGTCGCGATGGCAGTGACTCAGAACAAGCCTCTCCCAAAGAATATTAAGGTATCTACTAAAATACTTTGAGGAAGTCAACAAGCATGTGGACAAAGGGGGGATCTGGGGGACATAGTGTACTCAGATTTCCAGAAAGCCTTTGATAAGGTCCCTCACCAAAGGCTTTTAAGCAAAGTAAGCTGTCATGGGATAAGAGGGAAGATCCTCTCATGGATTGGTAAATGGTTAAAAGACAGGAAGCAAAGAGTAGGAATAACTGGTCAGTTTTCAGTTCCCCAAGGTCCGTACTGGGACCAATCCTATTAAACATATTCATAAATGATCTGGAGAATGGGGTAAACAAGTGAGGTGGCAACATTTGTAGCTGATACATAAGAATGGTCATACTGGGTCAAACCAAAGGTACGTCTAGTTCAGTTTCCTGTCTTCCAGTAGTGGCCAGATGCCCAGAGGAAGTGATGGACCTATCCTCCATGAATGTATCTAGTCCTTTTTTGAACCCTGTTAAAGTCCTAATCTTCTCAACCTCCTCTGGCAAGGAGTTCCACTGGCCAACCGTGCGCTGCAAGAAGAAGAACTTCCTTCTGTTTGTTTTAAACTTGCTACCTATTAGTTTCATTTGGTGACCCTTAGTTCTTACGTTATGGGAGCAAGTAAATAACTTTTCCTAATTAACTTTATCTACACCAGTCACAATTTTATAGACCTTTGTCATATCCCCCCTTAGTCTCCTCTTTTCTAAGCTGTAAAGTCCAAGTCTTTTTAGCTATATCTCCATGTCTTACAAGAGAGGATGGTTTAACAGAATAATGAAGAGAGAAGTTTTGTCCAAGATATCAGGAACAGGGGGAGGTAACAAATATCGTGAAACACATAACATGGCATATTCTAGTTGTTTATTTTGGGTTGGGGTACTTTGCCTTAATACTTTGTTCATCTAAGGGGACAGCAGAAATTCTTGGTGCTGACTGAGCTATTTCTTCCATAGGGCACTCGTGTTAGTGTACTGCTAACCACTGAACTAGGGTGCTTGGACTGTGTCTTGGCAATAAACCTGGCTGAGTGCCTGTGTTTCTGAACCATGCATGTGGTCTTTCTTTATGAGTAACATGAAAGTGTCAAATGAATGGCTTGTAGTCTTGAAGTCTGCTAACCAGCTGTCTGCACAAAAGCTGAATAACCCACTGAAAAAACACATTTGTACACTGACTGATACCCCCACGCTTGGCCTAAGCGATTGCTTAGGGCTCTGAGCAACTCAAGGGGGCCACCCTGTTCATATTTTATTCTGAGAAATTGCCTGTTTTAGGCAATTGGAAGGGGAATGTTCCTGCTTAGGGCTCCCAATGGGCTAGCCCCAGCTCTGCTGCAGCTACACTCTCTAGTGCCCCTAGGAAGTGAAGAGGTTATTTTCCCATTTGTCCGCCTCCATTGACTATACTATTCAATGTCATGTATGTTGGTCTAGAGATGACTGGTTTGTTTTGTCCACAGTACGGGATTGTGCTAGATGCTGGTTCATCTCACACTAACCTGTATGTGTATGAGTGGCCAGCGGAGAAGGAGAATGACACTGGGGTGGTGCACCAAGTAGAAGTGTGTACAGTACAAGGTAAGCCATGAGAGAGGAAGAAGGGGGCAGAGGAGGGGTGATGCAGTGATAAACAGAGTGCAGGAAAAGGAGGGGATGATGAAAATTATCCAATACTTGTCAACTGGTACAGCTTCCAGCCTGCCATCAATCACTCCTCACCTGTGTAGAGACCAAAATGCCTCTCGGGTTTGGTTTTGTTAATACAGAAATCAACAATAAAATGACACAAAGCTAAACTCTGTTCTAAAACCTCCTCTAATGAAACATCAGTCTGGGAAAGTTCCTCAGATTTGTCACCTCAAATGAATGGCTCAAGTTTGGGAATCTCCCTCACATCCACAGCTGTGAAGACTCTTGGTTTCTGAGGACAGGACAAGGAGTAATGGGCTTAAAGTGCAGCAGGGGAGGTTTAGATTGGACATTAGGAAAAAATTCCTAACTGTCAGGGTGGTCAAATATTGGAATAAATTGCCAAGGGAGGTGGTGGAATCTCCCTCTCTGGAGATATTTAAGAACAGGTTAGATAGACATCTGTCAGGGATGGCGCAGACGGAGCTTGGTCCCGCCTTGAGGGCCTTCCAGTCCTATGATTCTATGACTGAAGCAAAGAATTCATTTAGTTTCTCCACAATGACTTTATCGTCCTTGAGGGCTCCTTTAGCATCTCAGGTGGCCAGTGGCCCCACTGCTTGTTTAGCAGCTTCCTGCTTCTTAAAAATAATTGCTATTACTTTTTGAGATTTTAGGTAGTTGTTCTTCAAATTTGTTTTTGGCCTTCCTAATTATATTTTTACACTTCATTTGACAGAGTTATGCTCCTTTATATTTTCCTCACTAAGATTTAACATCCACTTTTTTAAACCATGCCTTTTGATCTCTCATTGCTTCTTTTATTTGGTTAAGCCACAGTGGTACTTCTTTGGTTCTCTTAAAATGTTTTAATTTGGGGTATGCATTTAAGGTGAGCTTCTATTATGGTATCTTTAAAAAGTTTCCATTCAGCTTGCAGTGATTTCACTTCTGGCACTGTACCTTTTAATTTCTGTTTTAACTAAACTCGTGTGTGTAGTTCCTTTCTGAAATTAAATGCCACAGTGTTGAACTGTTGTGGTGGTTTTTCCGTCACAGGGATGTTAAATTTAATTATACTAATGTCGCTATTTCTAAGGGTCCAGTTATATTCATATCTTGGACCAGATACTGTGCTCTACTTAAGACTAAATGAAGAATTGCCTCTCTTTTCATGGATTATAGAACCAGCTGCTCCAAGAAGCAGTCATTTAAGGAGCCAAGAAACTTTATTTCTGCACCCTGTCCTGAAGTGATGTTTAGCCAGTCAATATGGGGATAGTGAAATCCCTCAGTATTATTGAGGTTTTTATTTTTATAGCTTCTCTCATCTCCTTTAGCATTTCAGTCACTATCACTATCCTGGTTAGAATAGTGATAGAAATGTAGCCGTGTTAGTCTGGGGTAGCTGAAGCAAAATGCAGGACAATGTAGCACTTTAAAGACTAACAAGATGGTTTATTAGATGATGAGCTTTCGTGGGCCAGACCCACTTCCTCAGATCAAATAGTGGAAGAAAATAGTCACAACCATATATACCAAAGGATACAATTAAAAAAAAATGAACACATATGAAAAGGACAAATCACATTTCAGAACAGGAGGGGGATGCAGAGGGGGGAGGGGAAGGAAGGAAGGTAAGTGTCTGTGAATTGATGATATTAGAGGTGGGGAGAGTGGGATGAGATAGCTTCCCCAATTATCACCTCTAATACCATTAACTCACAAACATCCCACTCTCCCACTCTGATCAGTGCCACAGATCAGAGATTTTCAACAGCCGTAGTCAGCCAGACTGCACATGCGTGGTCAGCGTCTCGCGCCGTTCGCGCCCTTTGCCTGCTGCGTGTGGTCTGGCTCCTGCCAGTTCCTCTCAAATGTCCTGGGTCGTAGATGGAGCTCTGCTACTCTCCTCAGTCTGTCAGAAATAGTTAAAGTATTTAGTTAGAGTTTTATCATTAATTAGTTATTGTTAGTCGTAGTCATAGTTCTTATAGTTTGTTAAAGTTAAAAAAAAAATTTCCTGTCACACTCGCTTCGCAGACTAAGGCCGCAGCGAGAATGCATGGATTACCAGAGTTTTTAAAATGCGGCCACTGCCATTAGGCCATGCTAGCCTCAGATGGGCACTCATCGTACATACATTGTTTGGGTGAAGCCCACGTGCCCCCAAAATGCGCACACTGTTCAAGACAGGGAGACAGGGAGATGTGCCTGAGAGTGATATTATTCGACAAGGTGCTTCAATCCGCTGATACGTTATCACCGAAGGAAACAGTAGTGCCCCAAAAGTGCAGAGCGTCCTCCGCAGGGGCAGCTCCAACAAAAAAGATAAGGGCATCCCCAACATGCTCGTTACCAGCCACTCCGGTCAGTAGAGTTAGTGTGGGAGACAAAACGGGAACGTTCAGCACCACCTCTAGTGGTCTAAAGGCGGCCACGGCCTCAAAACAAAAAGGTACCGACCTCAGCACCAACAACTAAGGCACCGACCTTGGTACTGGATTCAAAGGCACTGACCTTGGCACCAACATCAAAGGCACCGATGGCACCCAGGGCTTGGTCGGCACTGGAGGCAGTGATGACCGGCGCACCTGCACAGAAGTTGACACCAACAATGTCGGCACCGCCAGCACTGACTATGGAGCTGCTAATGCGTCAAACAGCACCAAGGGGCAACGGCGCTGCCCTGATTCCGAGGAAGGCTACGACAAAGACTATCTCATGTCACATTTCACCTTCTCCATCACCAACTCTTTCTCCGCCACCGCCTCCATCACCACCGGCACTGAGCTTCCCAGTACCACACATGAGAAGCCACGGTCCTATTCTCCCTAACGAAAATCCCCATACTGCACAGCGAGACGTAAGGATAACAGATATTATGAGAGACGACTATCGCCTTCACCTTCACCATCTCCATCTCTCAATTTTCTGCATTCACCGACGTTGTCTCCTTGCTTGAGGTACTACAGAGGGAATAGGAGAGTAGTCTCCTCTAGGCAGTCCTTGCCCACCCAGTCAGTTCATTACTATGACTGCTATTCTAGACATTATTATGCAGACCATGACCATCACCATCACAGGTCATATCCCCATAGATGGTCCCTATGCTGCCATCGATCATATAGACAGCATTCCCTCTCCCCCTGGAGTGTCATCTACCTTCTACGCCACCTCAGAGCCCTGCACAGCAATCACACCATTTGAACCCTGAAGAGGGTCAGCTGTCAGAGGTGAAGGATCTGCAGCCTAATGCTTCCCCCCACTGATCTTTCTTCCTCTTCGCCTGATGATGCGATAATACCGGGGTATGGGTCACTGCCTGACGATCTCAGGCAATTCCAAGATTTATTCAAGCGAGTTGCGGAGTCCCAGGAGGTTCAGCTGGCAGAAACACAAGGCAAGCAATCTCGTCTACTTAAAAACTTGCACACTCAACACCGAGCAAGAACAGTGCTCCCTATCAACAAAGCCATTATGGAGGCAGCAGAAGAAATTTGGCAGACCCCAGCTTCGGCTCCACCGAGTAAGCATTCTGATTAGAAGTATTTTGTTCTATCAAAGGGCCTGGAATTTCTGTCTAATCACCCACAACTGAGTTCCATTGTTGTGGATGCAGCACAACAAAGATCCAGAACACCGCGCTACAGGAACATGCCCTCCAGTAAGTTCAGTAAGAAGCTGGATGTTTTTGGCAGGAAGGTGTACTCCTCCGCAACATTATTACTTCGTATTTCCAACTATGCCACTCTTCTCTCCAACCATAATTTCAACAATTATGTGAAGCTTACTGAGCTCATGCAACATCTTCCAGAGTCTAAGAGACCACTGTTAAAGTCCATCGTACAGGAGGAGTATACATCCACAAGGGCCGGTCTCCAGATTGCCGTGGACGTGGCTGACACAGCTGCCCGCACCACGGCCACAGCGATTACTATGCGCAGGTCATCGTGGCTCATATCTGGACCTCCAGGGAAAGGTGGAGGACCTTCTCTTTGGGAAGCAAAAATTATTTGCAGACAAAACTGATGAGGTCTTACATTCGGGGAAAGACTCCTGCACGACCTTGCGAACATTAGGGATGTATACGCCCCCATACAGACGTACACATTATATTCCTCAGAGACATTTGTGATGGACCGGGCCGGGTCTGGGCACAGCTGAGGGCATCCGCTCAGGGCGAATTGCTCAAATTCGGGGCTTCTTACAGCCCCCCAACTGGAGACCTTCCCAAATAGGCCATACTGAGTCAGACCAAAGGTCCATCTAGCCCAGTATCCTGTCTGCCGACAGTGGCCAGCACCAGGTGCCCCAGAGAGGGTGGACCGAAGACAATGATCAAGCGATTTGTCTCCTGCCATCCCTCTCCAGCCTCTGACAAACAGAGGCCAAGGACACCATTTTATCCCCTGGCTAATAGCCTTTTATGGACCTAACCTCCATGAATTTATCCAGCTTCTCTTTAAACTCTATTATAGTCCTAGCCTTCACAGCCTCCTCTGGCAAGGAGTTCCACAGGTTGACTACACGCTGTGTGAAGAAGAACTTTCTTTTATTAGTTTTAAACCTGCTACCCAGACAGCAAGGACCTCTACAAAAGAGATCTCTCCTCTTCCTATGCTCTATACAGGCAGTCCCCAGGTTACGTTCAAGATAGGGACTGTAGGTTTGTTCTTAAGTTGAATCTGTATGTAAGTAGGAATCTGTATGTAAGTAGATCCCCACAGCGCCGCACCTCAGCGTTGCGGGGACCAACCCGGCAGCACCCCAGCTGCTCTATCCCAGGTGTCCCCAAGTCAGCCGCTGCTGAAACTGATCAGCGGCTGATTCCAGGAACAAAATATCTTTTTTGAGGTGAGGAGACCACATCTGTACACAGTATTCAAGATGTGGGCGTACCATAGTTTTATACAGGGGCAGTAAGATATTGTCTTATTTTCTATCCC